TGGTTGCTGGGTCTCGGGCGCTATATTGAGGTCTAGACACAGGTACTGTCCCAGTAGCAGGGAGGAACAATTTGTGGTGTAGTCCCCCAGAGCTCCAGTAATGAGGATCGCAGCTACGATCAACCACAGAACATTTTGTGCCATTCCTCCCTGCATGATCGGGATTTTTGGGAAGCCAAAGCTTATCAATCGTTTCATGGTGAAGTGATGTGCTGATGATGATCGTATGCAGTCACCATTCTCAGTCTGCTTGCCATGGGTTGCATTGTTCTGCAGTAAATCAACACTGTAAAGATTTAATAAAGTTTGAAGTATATTATTATCTCTTCTACTATCATTATTATCTTTATCATCATTATCTCCTTATATTATTATTTCTTTCATTTATCATTTATCATATATTTGTTATGCCTACATCTATACCCCTGTAGTATTGTCCACATTTCTATAGATACTTAAACTTCCTGTTGCATTTATTTTATATCTATTCACTGATGGATTATTTTCTTATAAAAATTTGTATATGTGTGTAAGGAGTTGGGGGGTGTACCTGCTACCCATAATTTTGGGAACTTACCACTTATTTCTTACATGTTAATAAGTATTCTTTATCTTCTCGTAAAGCTTTTTTGACTACGATTAATCTACATTCCTGGCTCTCTTCTCTTTTCTTATCTTCCTTGTTTTTATTTCTTTTTCTTCATCTATCTCTTCCTTTGTTCTTTTGTCTTGATATATGGTCATCTATTTTAGTTTTCCTTAAGAAGATATCTGTCTCAGCATGTAATACTTTCTTATTGGTGATTAATCTGTACCTGTAATCAGGAGATATGTTGTTCGATTAAGAATTTATATTCCTATTAGTGCAACAAAAAAAATTATTGCATGTGAATGGAATCTTGGGCAATGAAACAGCAGGTGATCTACTTTTTTTTCTTGAACTTACAATACATGCAAGAAAGGTTTTGTTTTGATCTTTATCTAAGTGCTGCTTTAACCTGGGGTGTTTTCATGCTTATTACAAAAACATTTAATTTACTATCATTGGATACCACTGGCAATGATGAGTAATAAGGCTTCCAGACAAAAAATTGGGTTCATCTATTTGTTCCATTAAGTATTCCCACATCTTTTTGTTATATCATTGCACTGGTTATTAAGTAACGTAATTCTACATGAACTTCTGATGATGTTGTTATTTCTTATTTTCCCTGTTGTGATTTAATGATGATGTTCAGTATTTTACTTTACAAGTATTTTTGTTGTAATCAGCCCAAGGAAATACTTGTTTGCACTTCATTTGTATTTTTGAGTGTTTTTCATTTGTGTCTATTGAGTGTTTGACTTTTGCACCTGTTTTATGATTGTGTTGCTGTTTTTTCTAAGATATGTATTGTTATGCTTATTGTTACTATCATTCATAATTCAGTGCTCTTATTTTGAAATTGAATTCAACTGCCACTTTTTTAAATTTGTCTCTATGTCATTTCTAGTTCTGTTGTTTTGTTTTATGTCTACAGTCTTTTGGTACATTGTGAATTATCCTCACAACAAAAACAGTATGTTGCTAACAATAATAATATTGCCTACACTTGCTACACATCTCTATAATTTTGCAAGTTAACATTTCCAAAGTCCTAGCCGTATCTGACACCATAGATGAAAAGTGTTTTATTTAATGTCAAGGTAACCATTCCATATCTTTTCTATACTCAATTCCCGATTGTTATCCACTTTCCGGTTATTTTATGGGAGCCATATTTTTGTCATTGTTTTTGCCTCTGTTAATTTTATTCTGTTAATTATTCTATCATTGTCTATATTATCCAGAATTAATTCTTTTGTGGCTTGGAAAAAGTAAATTGTTAATTATACTGGATTCTTGTTGTTTACAATTCAAAGTGTCCTAAAGTGTTTAAAGTGTCAGTCACCTATATGTTGTATTTTAGTAGTTTAAATTTTGATATATCATTTACCTCAAATTCCATTCCTTTACTCTATCCTAAATACTTTTTCCTTTCTTTGTACTTTTACAGGATTTTAGGCTCTCCATGTTCTAGAATTCTCCCTGTGTCCTCTATGATGTATATTTGGAATACTGATTCATTGACTTCTTCTGTTCGTTCTATTAAATTGTTGAAAAGCTAAGTTACATAATGCTCCATTTAATCAAACAAATATGTCTCGATTTACTTGCTTTTATTTCGATGTGGCGTTTCTCGCAGACCTGCTGAAATGTCAGCTGCTACTTCCGTCCGGTTTCTTTAATTCTTTCGATTGCTCTTGTGATTAAGCTACTTCCCTTTGTCTCTTCGTTTTCAGGACTATTTCAGGTCACTTCATTCTTGTTTCACTTTTACATGTAGGGAGGAAATTTCGTTTGTTCCTCCTTTTAGTAAACACTATCGACTTTTTCCAATGACGTCACGTTTGGGCGCTTAAGTTACTAGACTGTAAATAACTGTTGGCAGAGAATCATTAATCCCCTTTGTAAATTAACTATTAAAATGGAACGTGGTGTTTTAGAAATGTAAATGGTACCTCGTTGGGTTTAGATATAACTGAGAGACATTGCATGAATTATATGATTTACTGTTTGTATGATGAATGTGATACTGTAGGAGTTGATACAGTAAAAGTTGAAGCGTAATTTTTTTTTTTCAGAAAATTGAAAATAAATTCTGTTTAAATTAGAGTACAAGGCTATCAGTAATAGGAGGAATATTATAATCATAGCAGTAATAATTTGGTAATAAGAACAAAATGAAAATCATTTAGATAATGACAATAATCACAATAATAAAAATACTGATGATAATAATAATGATGGCGATGATAAAACAATGAGATTAAGAAAGAATTGTGAAATGAAAAATGGGCAAAAAGATTCAAGAATGTCATGCAAATTTACCCTTTAATACTTAGTATTCAAATTCTTACTATTACTGAATCCAAACTTTATATTGAAAATATAAACATCTTTCCCATATTCACGTTGACATGTAGAAAAGGTATGAATGAGAATGAACAGCTTCACAAGAGTTGTATTTGACCGGTTTCGAATATACCTTCGTCGGAAATAAATACATCAGTGAAACTACTGATGTTAATAGATATCAGACGTGAGCCGATGAATCACTTGAAGACCGTGACCTCATGCTCATTAAACGCATAGTTGCAGCCGCGATCTTCTACAATTTGAAGCTGCCCGACGTGTGTTGACATTCTCCTCCGTCGCGATGTATAATTTCTTTTTGCTGTTTGCTTATTTTGGTTTACTTCTGCCTCCTTTCAGTCTGGTATCTGTTCTGATTCATGAACCACCATGGCGTTTGGAAGTCCTGTAGTGACGGACTTCAGACCGATGTTCACTGATCCTGGTGTTGAAACCACGTCTCATTTCACCAAAGTATGCCTTATCGCATCTGCTGCGGGTATTCGATATACAGTAGCTGGGGTTGTTCTGGGATTGTTTTCAGGCTTTTTGTCACGTTTTTATGCCTTATGTATATTCACCGGATGTACTGGCAATTTCTCTGTACTTCAGAAGTACCTGCAGATTGTACCTTATGATTTTCTTACATCGTACCTTTATAAATGTCATTATCATAATCATTATTGTGTGTGCTTGTTTTTTTTTTTTTTTTTTTTTGTGTGTGTGTGTGTTTGTGTGTGTGTGTGTTGGTGTGTGTGTTGTGTGTGTGTGTGTGTGGTGTGTGTGTGTGTGTGTGTGTGTGTGTGAGTGTGTGAGTGTGTTGTGTGTGTGTGTGTGTGTGTGTGTGTGTGTGTGTGTGTGTTGTGTGTGTGTGTGTGTGTGTGTGTGTGTTGTGTGTGTGTGCACTTTCAGTACAATATAACATAAGGGAACATACAGGCTATACTTTTTTCATTATCTTTTTTTAATAGGAATTTCTGTGGTATGAACAAATATTCACTTTGAAAAAAACATAAAATATTTGTCATAAATAAATATTTAAATGAGGGAAGATCAAACACTGTAGTATTACATTCCAATCCATTTTGTGATATACTGATGACCAAAGACAACATAAAGACAAAATTTTAAGAAAATGAGCCAGTCTAGTTCTGTTAATTCTGTATATACTTTCATACACTTTTAACCATTTCCTTTTCTGATTACTAAATATTTTGCATTGTCTATCTGTATACTAAATACTTGCTTATCAATAACACATTATATTAATTACTAGTATAGTTATTCCTTTGAATCTCTTAACTTTTCTTCATCATAATGTTCACATTGGTAAACCAAGAAGAAACCTTTACAAATATAGACTGCAAAGCCATGAACAGTTAACTATAATATACTTTACCCTTAAAAACATACCTTATGAGGGTATGCATGCCCGTAGGTGTTCTCCAAGCAATTGCATTTATCAAATGTTTTGTTAGTTTAAACTTTTATCTATAATATCTATGTGTTCATGTTAGTGCACTACAGTAATTAGATGAAGCACACAAACTTAAGTATATCGATGTTTACGTTATAGCTGAAGGCTTAAACTAATAAAACATTTAAAAAGACAATTAGTCTGAGAATAGTCTTTGGACACATGCCTTCATATGGTCAGATACAGATTTGCCAGATTAGAGCACTAAATCCTCAATTCTATTTACTAAAGTAAATAGTCAGTCTGCATAAAAAAAAGCTACAATTTTGGAATCTTAAAAATCAAAATCTATACACGAGAAAAACATCACAACCATTCCCAGGTGTCTTGTGGAAATATTGGTACAATTTGCTTTTTATCTTCTACATCTTCAAGCATTTCTAAATATAGGATGCACATCATTTAACAGTTAACACCAATTTACACAGACAATATAAAGTGAAATTGCAGGAAAATCATATACTGTTAAATGGGAAGAAATGTGACATAGATATAGTAATCATTACAAGCTACATGAAAGAGAAAAAAAATGTAATACAAGGAGAAAGGAAAGAGCAGAAAATGAAGGTAAAATTAACAAATCTCTAGAAATTTTTATTTCTCCTTTATTTAGCTCAAAATACATCATCTGGTATTAGAATAAAACATTTCAGGAATAATCTTAAAAATCTTACAAAAGGCTTTGGAAAATTGGACTTTCTCAGATGACTAGGCAAATGATGTCCAGGAAACAATATCAACAAGAACAAGAATAATAAGTAGAAGAACAAGAACACAGCAACAAGTGAATGAGAAGATGGAATAATCACATTTATTATTTATGATAAATTGTACTTATTACAGGTTTGAGGAAATTGACAGAGCCTTTGTTGCACTGGTTTTCATGTGCTCATGTCAAACACTTGTAAATGCTACTATATTTTTTCTTCTTTTACATATCCATCAACTTTTTTGTAATATCTCTGATGCTCTTCCTCAGATGACAGATCCTCACTATCTGATTTACTGCAATGTCTGTGATTGCTTTTGGATTTTTTCTTCTTGTGTTTTCTCTTGCTTTTTTCTTTTTCATTTTCCGTTTCTTCTTGTGGTCTGTCGAAGTGCTCTCTCGTTCATATGAGCTGCCCCTCTTCTCTGATTCTGAGCTTGACAGCTCTCCATCCTCTGTATGCTTTTCAACTTTAATTCTTTTTTTAAATTCCCTCTCATTCCTTTCTCCATACCTACCTTCCATCTTGTTTGAATAATGTTCCCTCTCTGTCTCATATTTCCTCTCTTTTCCTTCTGGACAGTAGTATTCAGAGTGGTATTTCTGTCTTTCTCTTTCCTTTCTATCCTTGTAATAATCTTTTTCAAATTCACTTATATATCTTTTATCCCTTTCTTTTACTTTCTCTCTTCCACTTTCTTCCCATGATCTTTCTTCTCTACTTCTTCCTCTGTACACACCTTCCTTTTCTCTTTTATAGTCTCCCTCCCTCTCTCTCCTCCTGTCTAGCTGTTTGTCATCTCTTGCCTCATCAAAACTGCTTCCCCATCTGCTACTATTTTTTCTATATTCCCTCACTTCATAATCACACCTCTCACGGTTATCTGCCCTCCTATAAGCTATTTCTTCTTCTCTACCCTCTCCTCTGTTCCTCTTCCTTGACTCATTGCTATCACCTCTGTCTACTCTTCTATTATATCTACTGTCACTCTCCTGCTCTCTTCGCCTATCATGCTTGTCTCTCTCATCACCACGATCATAAGACCTTCTAAATGGGCTGCTGTCATCTCTGGAAGAACTAGCACTCTCTTTCCTGCTGTGGGTGACGCAGTCCTTTTGGTCACTAGGATGCTCTCCCTCCTTGCCAATTTCATCTCGGAGTTCAGAAGTTTGATGAGGAGCATCGGTTTCTAATTCTGTAGCTCCTATATACACCATCATGTTGTGTATTACTTCTCTAGCCACCTGAGAGAGAAATAAAAGCCATGTTAAGTTCCAAATAGTAAGGAATAATTACTGGAGACCTAAAACTAACATGAAGTAACAAACATACTTCAGTAATCATATAGGAACATTCATGGTAATAGTTATACATCTGGCACAGGTTAGCTAAATACTTTTTCCTTTACAATAAAAGTTTACAATAAGCATTACAACACTGTTGCAAAAGTGCAAAATCAAGAAAAAATATAGGATTATGCATTTTCTGTAGCATCTATGCCATTAAAAAGTCAGGTGTATTACTTTCATTCATATAATATACCTGTTATTTCAAGAACAAAATATCTATACAGAATATATGAATGATGAAAGGGACTGGACATCAATATACAAACAAACAACTAAAAAATATATAGAAAAATTTTAAGTAGAACCTACTTCTGTATGACTTTTGTTTTTTGTCGAGACCTTCGTTCTATATGCCTGCCGTCGCCTCTTGAAGTCCCTCATTGCCTTTGCCAACTCAAGGCCAGACAGTTCCTTTGGCTGCTCCTCCTTCTTGAATACATTCTCCTGCATTAAGAATCATTTTAAGAATTTGTTGACTGGTGTTCCAATAGTGTCTGTGTGTGTGTCTGTGTGTGTGTGTCTGTGTGTGTGTGTCTGTGAGTGTGTGTGTCTGTGAGTGTGTGTGTCTGTGAGTGTGTGTCTGTGTGTGTGTGTCTGTATGTGTGTCTGTGTGTGTGTGTGTGTCTGTGAGTGTGTGTCTGTGAGTGTGTGTGTCTGTGTGTCTGTGAGTGTGTGTGTCTGTGTGTCTGTCTGTGTGTGTCTGTCTGTTTGTGTATATCTGTCTGTTTGTGTATATCTGTCTGTGCATCTATCTGTCTGTGTGTCTATCTGTCTGTGTGTCTATCTGTCTGTGTGTCTAACTGTCTGTGTGTCTAACTGTTTGTGTGTCTAACTGTCTGTGTGTCTATCTGTGTGTGGCTATCTGTGTGTGTGGCTATCTGTCTGTTCGTCTATCTGTATGTGTGTCTATCTGTGTGTGTGTCTAACTGTCTGTGTGTGTGTGTGTGTGTGTGTGTGTGTGTGTGTATGTGTGTGTGTGTGTGTGTGTGTGTGTGTGTGTGTGTGTGTGTGTGTGTGTGTGTGTGTGTGTGTGTGTGTGTGTGTGTGTGTGTGTGTGTGTGTGTGTGTGTGTGTGTGTCTGTCTGTCTGTCTGTCTGTGTGTCTGTCTGTCTGTCTGTCTGTCTGTCTGTCTGTCTGTGTGTCTGTCTGTCTGTCTGTCTGTCTGTCTGTCTGTGTCTGTCTGTCTGTCTGTCTGTCTGTCTGTCTGTCTGTCTGTCTGTCTGTCTGTCTGTCTAAATATACATACATACAAAAATCATAACAATACAATATCCTAACAATGTGACACTACACCAATAAAACAAAACCCTACAATATATAGCAAGATTGTTATATGTAAAATACAGACCATCATGGAGAGCTCTGGTGGAGGGGCCACTCCAGCAGCATTCTGCAATGTGTATTCGTACAACGCCAACCGCTCTTGCCTTGAGAAATTGGCAATCAATTCTCCAGCTGCTAGTGGAGGTTGCCTTTGATCAGGTGCATCTGGTATAAACATAATTATATTTTAGAATAAAGTATGAACAGGTATAGACACAGGAGTATTACTATTTTTTTTTTTTGAGAGGGGAGGAGCTGTCAAGTTTTTGCTCATCATTTATATGCAGCATTTGATGGGTGTTGTCATGTGTTTACATTCTGCTGTGCCTTAATTTAAGGTTTGAGAATGTTCTAGAATGTTCATTTCATCTTAAAAACGCCTTTTCAAAATCAAAAACTCTTCTGCAATATTGCTCATAAATGTCACATTACTATTGTATTCTTTCAGATAATCATGGGACTTGTCAAGCTGACAAAAACAAATGCATAATTCACTGAGCAAGATCACAAGCACATTCTTGTCAAACAACTTTTGGATTACAAGACTTGGAACTTTAAGGATTTAAGGAAACCTCCTCCCCATAGTTACACCTCTATGTTAACGATATAATTGCTTGGAAATTATCTATGCCAGACTAGCCAGTGAATGTAAAGTGCTTGTACCTAAACCAGAATGTGTATACTGCACTATGTGTGAGACATGACACAAACCAAGAAATATATCAACATAAACTTCGTTAAGACACATACTACATGAATAAATAAACAAAAACTATACCTTTTAAGCTAGTTCTGGTCTATGAAAAAAAATCCAACAGTTTACCTTCATGTAACCTATATCAACATCTTTTAAATGGATGTACACATAAAGGAATGTTAAAATTGAGTTAAATAAACAGTATCTTTACACAATCATAATTATGAAAAGTAATTGCAAAAAAAAAAAAAAAAAATCCCATCCACGAGTATACATAGGTAGTGATCTACACTGAAAGCAATATTCATAATTAAGTAGTCATGGGTTTAGTAAAAGCAACTCCATAAAAGGATACAAAGAAATTCCACATACTGTTCATATAGCTGAAAAGAAAGTGGGGGAATGATCAGTCATTTTGCTGGTAAAAATGCATTCTAAAAATAACATGTGCTTTATGATATGCTTGAATTTTCTCTTTTTTTATACAAATCTATAAATGTAATTCCATATACAATATCCTACCTGGTCTCCTGTATGCTGCCAACACATTTCTTTGTACATCAGCATCTGGAAATTCAATCATTATGTTAAGATCATACATCAGAGCCAAATAACCTAAGTCATCCAAAAAATAACACTATAACTCCTATCAGGGAATCTTGAAACAGTACAGAATTCTAAAATTTGTAATAAATGAAGAAACAGAAACAGAAACTCAAATTACCGATGGTAATAGCAGACACTCCTTTTACTGGTATTGCGGGCAACAGAGGCTCTTCGTTGAATTCGTTACTCTTTTCTGGGCTTCTAGTCTTCTCAGAATTCTGTAAATTGAGCAACATAAATTCTTTGAGATATAATGTAAAATGTGTGTGTGTGGGGAGGGGTGGAACAGTAGCTCCCAATTCCACGGGAACGACCTAAATGAGGGTCGCCAGGGTTTTTCTGAGGGTCACCAGAGGGACTTGAAAAAATAATAAAAGAATCTATAGCTGCTCCCATTTAGATTTTGAGCAATGTAGCTGATTTAATTCAGTAGGACAGCATAAAGATTTTCCTGGACAGAGATACAGTTTCTCCTTAGTACAAGTAGGTCTTCTTCCATTGTAGTCACTGGTTATTCCCAAGGTATATTGCTTGGTTCTTACACTAGCCATTTTTTAAATGTAATTCATAGCAGTAATTTTATGAACCACTGAAACCTATCAGCAAAGCATAAAAATTTCAGAGATGACAAATTCAAATTCACTTTTAAACAAAAAATATCCCAGAAAAGTGGCAGATAAAGTAACATCAAAATTTAGGCAGAAAAGAGGAAACAGAACATCAGGGATAACAACCTAATTAACTTGAGGTTACATGACCCTTCCAACCAATCAGTTGGGAAAACATCACTTCACTTCCTTTTCCCAATTGCCAATAGTATCATCTCCCTCTCCCATCAAAGTTATCTTTTTTTTTTCTTTTTTTTTTTATTCCTTTGTAATCTCATTTTGCTTCCATGTTTTT